ACCTTTATTGTATTTTTTTAACACCACTCTTAGTTATGTTTAATAGGTTTTTTTCTACATTTCCTATTTTTCTGCCATATTGCTTTTCCAATCTTGTTCCCAGCTGCACTACATCTGGCACATTTTTTAAACGTGCAAACTAAGAATTTCATTGTAGAAGGAAGCTTGTGCAAATGACAATAAAAGATCTTGGATCGTGAATTTGCATATATCAGCTGAAGTTCTGACATCATATGAAAAATATGCGATCACATCTGAAAAATAAAACCACATGCCCTTAAAATAAAATCACATTGCCATACTGTATATACAGAAAATAAATAAAATCATGTGAAACATCAAAAATAAAAGTATTACTAATTTAAAATAATAATTTAAAAAATAATAATAACAATAATGTGTCTAAAACTTACATGCGTAAAATTTGTGTAAAATTTGTGTTAGTTGACTAAAATCAAGGACTTCAGTGGTGCTGGCATTCAGTAGGAAAGAGACATAATCGTTTAAGATTTGGACAAAAAAACTACTTTTCTGACTGAACAGAAGAATGGTAACTAAATCATGACAAAAGTCATTATACACCATTATAACTGCTATAGGTGTACGTATTTATTTAAGTATCTACCTATCTTTTTGAAAAGAGAATAAATAATAAGTGAGTTCTTTTAGCTGTGATGAGAACTGAGCTATCGTTATGTGAGCAAGGCTTTTTGGGTTTGAGCTGTAGAGCTGAAATGAAGGTAAATTTTATCACACATCTGGACTTTAAGAGGAGCAGGCGGCTAATCTCCCATATCTCTCCTCCTCTCTCTCGGATACTGCAATGTCCTGCTGCATTCTTATGATTAATGGTGTTCTGGAGGAGTGAGACAGCTTCGCTTTCACTCTGACCGCTGTGTGCATGCCATAAGAGTCACCACAGTAAAACATATCCTGACAGCTTCGAGTGCGCAGAGTAAGCTGTCTCCCATCTTATTTGGGATGTAGATGTCTTTTCTAAGTACAGGCTAGTAGCAGAACTTAAAAGCATCACCACATTTCTCACTGTATGTGTGTGAATGTGTGCGTGTGCGCTCATGTGTTTCCCACACTCTTTCTCAAATGCAAATTTTTCCTCTGTTGCAATAGTCAGCTTAAAGTCAACAAACTCGAGTGAGAAAACAACATGAAATCTGTAGCTATGGGCCAATGCCATGCATGTGAACCATTTTAACTTAATTATACTTCTTGGAAGTTACAAGAAAGAAAGCAATTACATTTGTATTGCTTTGCGAGTTCTTGTGAAAAAAGGAGGTGGAAGATGATCTGAAACAGAAATAGTACAGGAATCATAAGTGAATAAACACATTCTGTGTTGCTGATTAAATTTCTAGAACTAAAAAATTAGAGCAATAGAGCCAGCTGCAAGGTTTCTATTAATGGACTCCTTCTAACATATATATTGTTTCTATAGTAACAACGTACACAGGGGAAGACTTATGGAAGGAGCCTCCAGTGTCAGTGCTTTATAACAGGAAAGTCTTCAGAACAGAGAACTTTCCAGTTTCTCTGTAACATAAGCAGCTGTGTTTTTTGTTACATTAACTTCAAGACAGAAGGAAAAAAATAAATAGAGGATGGTGAGGGACCAACCATTTATAGCTACTACAGTGAAAGTGATAACAGGAAGTAACTTGCCTTAGCGAGGTTCCACAACATGAAAGGTAACTATAAGCTGATCAAACGTATGATATGTCATTCTTTCATTAATTAAAAAGGTAATCATTGGCAAATTGCTGAGATATAAGAGCAATAAACACTTCAGGACATGCTGTTAACAGTAACTCCACTTCACACCACCCCATCCGTTGATTAATTTCCTATAACAGCACCACCCCTTTTCTTCTATTCCTTACTTAGCAAAACACATGACTCAAATCACCTCTGCTTTTATAGACATGAAAAAAAGTGATAGAATTTACAATAAGATTTAATACCCACACTGAGCAGCTCATTTTAACCTGTTAACAAATTCTTTCAACAGAGCAATGACCACAAAGCAAACAGTCTTAGAAAAAAAGAACCAGGGTTCCTCAAGCGTTCTTGTCATGAGGTCATGAGGGTTCTCAATTCTAACATGGAGACACTGTCATGAAGTGGGAGTGGGTGGATGTAATAGCAAGCTTCTTTATTAACAAATCCAAATAGTCTGATAGTCTGATAAAACAGTGAGCAGGCAGGGGTTAAGCAATCAGGAAGTAAAGCAGAAGTGAAATGAATCAATGAATGAGATGAACATGACTGTGATATATACAGGCATGAAAAGAGAGGGTTCTGATATAAATTAGTCTTAATATATTACTTTGAAACTCTGAATATTATGTAATGAATGTTCTATAATTAGTTGTCTTAAGATTAATAATGAAGGTTTTTAAGCAATTAATCTCAAATATGAATATAATACCCCTGATTTCTTATGTGTGCATTTGGATGAATCCTAATATTTGATTAAGCCTTGTCATAATCTACTTTAGCTAAAGTGCTCTCTATTAGCCTTTGAGTGTAAGGAAAAGTTCTGTCATCAGCGATTTCCCCTGCAATACGCTGCTTCCACTGATCACCCCTTGAATATGGCAGCGCGATGCTCTGGGCAGTTTCACGTGCAGTTTCAAATGAAACAGAGTCCAGGAAGACTAAAACAAATGTTTGTAGTTTTCACATGTGTTTTGTTTTTGAACAAAATCAAGTCATAAAAACAGCAAACAGTTGAACATACTGTGTGCACAAAAGTGACGTATGGAATAGCGCAATCGATCCACAGTGCAGAAGAAATTATTCTATGTAAGCGCAAAAAAATGTATTTACACTCCAGTATAATAGTGATTAAAGACACTGTGAGATGTTGAAAATCTGCTCAAAATAATGAATGTGATATGCTATGAATGTGAAAAGAAATAGTGTCTAGACCAGGGGTGTCACACTTAAAATTCTGCCCAGGCTACATTAGCTTTTTTTTTTTTTTTTTTGAGCCTTTGAAGAGCAATAAATTAAGGCTATTAATTTTTAACATATTATTATCTATTCCATTAACACCAATAACCTAGTCCCTGAAAGTAGAATAGGATGATTCTAGGAAAAAGAAGGGTGAACAGAAACTATTTATGCAGTATTATTAACATTTATTATACTGATTAAAGATTTTTTTAAGTATAATAGGGGTTGCATGTAGATGATTAGTCTAATACATTCACTAGTCACTGCTGTGGGGCTGTCGGCTAGTCAAGCAGAAAAAAAACAGGGAGGCAGACAGTAAAGAAATGTAGGCAGATTGTAAAAAAAATAATACTCCGTAATACACTAATGTCTAATACACTGTAAAACATTTACTGTAAAAGTTACAGTAGTTTACCAGCAGCAGAGTTGCCAGTAAAGCACTTTAAATTTACAGTAAAGTACTGTAATATCTTTACAGATAATGCCTGTTATTTTACAGTATATTACTGTATGGTAGGTTCCAATAATATACTGTAAATTTTGCAATTAAAATACTTGCAACATTCACATTATAACATATGTTTTATTTTATACAATTATTATAGTATTGCATTGTATTATTGCATTGCCGGTGCAAAATGAAAGGTAGAAAGGTAGAAACGCAAGTTGAGGTAAGGTAAATATGCTGAACAAACACATGATATTTTGGTCATGAAAGATGTAATCCTCCACAGGCCCTGTTAGGAAATCAGCTTGCACGTTTTTGCAGGTGTTATCAAGTTTGCATGTGTTTTTATATATGAAAAAACTTTAGTAAATCAAGCCCTTAATGTATTAGACGTATATATGAGTGATTTGGGAACTTACTAGTTACAATCTGCTTTATACGTACACTTATTGGCTGTGTTATTCCTCTGAACAATTTGCCAGCCCCTCCTCTCCCCTGTCCATCAACGAAATCAACGCTTTATTAGATGCAATTCAAGAAATTTTATAAAAAATTTCTCTCTCTTTCTCTTACCTATTCTCCCTCTGTCTCCATTTCGATCTAAAGCATAATTTATTCTTATGGCTTGGGATGAAAATCATGAGCGTTTGCATAATACCACTTTCCGGACAGTAAGCATATTAAAGATTAAAAACTCATTCACAATGCAGCGCAAACTGGGATCAGGTGGGTCATATGGAAATGATATGACAGCCCAGAGTGATATATATATTATTCCAAGTGTATTAAACACAAACTGGCCACTGGGGTTCCACAGAGCCGATTGGGTTCCATTGCTCCCAATATTGGGCTTGACGATTAGAAATGGGGACGTTTTATGATATTCATATTGAGGGAGAGAACAATCAGAACCGACGGTATTATAAATACATGAGGATGACAGCCAGTATTGGCAATTTCTGACTGTCTGAGGACATAATCATAAAGCCTAATTTTTAGCAATGGATTTTCCTTTTTGAAAAAATGGAGAGATTGGAGGTGTTCTTCAGAGAATTCTAAGAATGCACCAGCTGACATTAAACGGAAGCAGTTCCTCATTACTGCATGCCACAGCCTTTAATACACTGCCCATAAAAAGGTACATCAAAACCTGGGTAAATTAGCCACAGGAGAGAAATTAAAGGTAATTTGTTGAGCGTGAAGGGAAAGGGCCTGTCTCTGTTGTGGCCATCGCTGACTTCTAATGGCCCCCAAGGAGGAGAAAACTAAGCTATTTTAGGCAATTTGGTTAGGGAATGTGTGACTTGTTTGAAGTACAGTTTCTTGGCCTGTTAATTGCAGGAGGTATAACAGTATAATTGCAATAAAATATGAAATAATGCCTTAAGATACATGTTTAAAATGAAGCACTGGAAGTGAAGGTGCTTTATAAAAACAAGGGGAAACATATAAAAAAACAAGGACATTGAAATTTAGAAATTTAAATTAAAAAAATACCCTGATACAACAATAAAGCTAAAGTACTTCCTGGTCTAAGCCAGCTTTATTTCATCATTATCAGGTGCTAGTTTCAAATAGGTCCCTGGAGGACTAGTGGTTAGGCCTTGGCACTCTCGCAGCCACGGCCCGGGTTCGTCTCCCGGCGAGGGAACCAACCCCAGCCACTGGGGTTGCACATGACAGTGCACTCCCAGTGCTGGTCCCAAGCCCAGATAAAACTGGGGAGGGTTGTGTCAGGAAGGACACCCAGCATAAAAACTGTGCCAAATCAAATATGCGGCCCAATGATCCTCTGTGGCAACCCGTAACGGGAGCAGCCGAAAGAAGAACAACAACACCAGGTGCTAGTTTCAAATAATAATGGAAGGATATCATTTTTTTAGGATTTCATTTTAAGTACAGCATGTATGTCCGTATAAAGTAAAAGAGGATATGTATTTAGACTGTCAAAAGTCTTTACTAAGTCAGAAATAAACCATGACAGGGCATGTTGTTAGCACCCTGAAATTTAATCTTTTTCTTATAGCAACATGTCCTGAAGTGTTTTAGTCCTTTACACCTTAGCAAATAAAAACAATTAATTCCTGTTGTCACTCATATTATGACAGCTAAAATCAGCCTCTTCTTTCCTCTCTCTTGAAGTTAATAAGACCAAAAAATGCATCTTATCATGTTACAGAGAAACTGCAAAGCCCTGTCACGGAGACTTTCCCATGCCAGAAATCCTCAAAGGAAAACTTTACCATATCAACAATTACACATGTGTTTAAATCTTTTTTTAAAGCATTCATCATACAGGTTGTGTAAGTTCTTACTATAGAAATGGTATTGCATTAGAACAAGCACATTATTATAAACCTTGTACAACTGTCAGAGCTGCTGCTATAGAAAACAGCAATGTGATATAACTGTTAATTAATTACCCTGATTTCATATGAACAACCAAGTGTGTTGTTGTTGTTGTTGCATTTTGTACTATTTTATCCAAATAAGAAATGTAAGTTAAAACACATGCATTGGTCAGCAATCACCAGTCATGATAAAACTCCTCACTATAACTCCTCAGCATAGCCTGGTATAATTTAAAGCCATAAATACCTGCTCCTTATACACTTTAGCTCCTATATGATTATCCTTTGTGTTAAGCCTGAGTATGAACAGCTGTGTAGCATGAGACTGTTGCAGTGAGTGTGTCTGTGTGTGTGTCTGTGTGTGTGTGGCACTTAACCAAAGTTAACCACAGTACCCCTGATTAGCCTCCCCCGATAGAAATGGCCACCCTGGAATCTTCACAGAAACCTCATAGTGGTTTTCGAACCTCTCAGTAGAAGGACCCCAGAATGTGCAGGCTAATTGCTCCAAAGGAGGCAATGCACGTTGTGGAGTTAGAAAGACTTCCCGACCTCCCCACAGAGCCACTGCATTTAATTAGGCTCTACACCAGAACTGAGAACTCACTTTGTTAACTTCTTTTTTCTTTTTCAAGTTAAAACCCAACACTTGAATAAGTTGCATTATTTTGAGATTTTGACACAGAGCTAACCACTTACCCATAAAAAAACCTCTGAACACAACATGATGTGGGGATTTCATTGTGTGTGCACCATTGGTGCATACTCTCTTATCCATTTAAATAAATGGAAGAAAGGAATTTCTGCATTTCATGAAGTTTGGCTACATAAAAACACTTTATACCACAGCACTGCTGACTGTGTTTGATTCAGTTCCTGCTCTTATATATTATCTCTGACATCATTTACATGGTGAAGCTTTCTGCAAGGAGATGTTTATTTAACATTTCTGAAAAGAGTCTCCAGTGTCAGTACTTTGTGACAGTCAGTAAGTTTTCCACCACAGGAAAGTCTTCAAGACAGAGGACTTTGCACTTTCTGGGTTTCTCTTTAACACGACAATCTGCATTTTTCATCTTATTAACTTCAAGAAAGAGGAAAAAAAGAGAAGCTGGTGAAGGACCAACTTTTTATAGCTGCTATAACATAAGTAATAACAGGAAATAACTTCCACAACATTAAATGCAACTGTGACTGTAAATGTAATTTTCCTATAACAGAATGTCCAGTCATGTGTTATTCCTTACTTTTATTCCTTACTTGACTGATCAGAAAGTGTTGATTAATTTTATACAGCAGCAGCTCGGACAGTAATTCTGGCTGTAATTCAAATCACAGATTTATATTAATAACATAGCATTTTATCATTTCTATAGTAACAACTCATTTGCAGAAACATGAATGGAGTATGATGTTCTACATGAAGGAATGTGTGTAATAATTTTCTGAGGAAATTTTTTTTTTTTTTTGGAAGGAGTCTCCAGCGTCAGAGGTGAAACTTACTTAACTAACTTTCACAATAACAATTTGCATTTTTTTTCTTATTAACTTCAAGAGAAAATGAAGGAACGACTGTTTAAAGCTGCTATGTAAGTAATATGAGGAACTTGTACCAACATTAAATGTAACTATAAACGGATAAAACATATGATGTGTTATTCTTTGAATAAAAAAATTGCTGTGTTGTAAGTTGAATAAAATACATAGGAAAATAATGAACTTCAGGCTAGTAACAGTAATTCCACTTTATTTCAGGCTGCATCACACCACCCCATAATTTCTTCTAACAGCATGAGTTTTCCTCATCAGTGTGTTGATGACACAGCAGACATCCACATCTTTAACCACCAGTCAAAGCATCAGAGCTGCAGTGTCAACATTGCTGTTAATATTTCAACAGCAGCATGCTTTTCTAAGGGAAAGCAAAAAACAGTTTCCATTTCAGCATGTCGGTGTTGCCTTTTAACTGGCTCTTTTCCTCCTCTTTGAAGTCCAATGTGTTTATTTGGACACTTTGAGAGCAATGGACTTTAGAGCAGCCATGACTTTTCATTTCCGTAACAAAGCGTTATTTCACCCTTTCTTAATGTCATATATTTGGCATCATACACAAAAAGAATGAAGCAGAAAGGTAGCATTTTTCTTGAGCAGCGTGTGTGTATGTGTGGGTGTGTGTGTGTGTGTGTGTTTGCTGTGTGTTTGCCCGTTAATACATTAAAAGAAAATTCTGACTAGAATAGCAGAAAGAACTTTTCAGTACTGTTGAGATACTGCACCGTAATATTGTGTCTTAATTAATAGGTAAAATCTTTTATAAGGTCTTTGTGTCACTTGGATCTTTTCTTTTTTTATTTTAAATTCCTCTGCAAGTCAGTAGCTGATGAAAGTTCATCTATTTAGAAAAGTAAAGCTGCTATGATATAACTATATGATTATGCACTGTGTCTGTTCACATATTTAAAATGGACTAAATTAAGACAAAATATCTATGAAAGGATTGAATTATCTGGAAAATGATATAAAATATAATGCTTATAGCCATTTTTTTGTTTTGTTTTGTTTTTAACAAACCCGATGAAAAATTTGTATGATTTTGAACATGGGTGATATGATTGCATTTATGTAGATTTGGACAGGACATGGATGCTAACTTCACCGCTAAACCTTAATTTTAATTGGATTTATGACATACAACCTTGTTAACTTATATTTGTTCTCCAAGACATAGGCTAGGCGTGTTTTTTTGCTATATATTCAGTTTCTCAATGTATTTGCTATATATGAAAAAAAAAAAACATACAGGACAGTTGTATTTTGATCTGTTTCACATTCCCCCCATACTTCCAAACATCTATAAAGACAGCATGTCTTTAAAAAAAAAAAAAAAAAAACAAGCCAAGATCAGCAGTGCTTTGTTAGATGTTTAGAGAGGCATTCATAAGACTTATCTTCAGAAGCCTCATCACCATATCTAGTCATCAGATCTCTTGGAAACCTAATTATCTGAAACATTGTTACCTGCAAATTTCGGTAGAGTACATAATAATATTATAACAGTATTAGTATGTAGAGACTTTCATCTCTAATTCTTTGTTGGTCATCATTTGGACAATGCATAGTGGTTGAGTGGACAACTATGAAGCTATTTATTTTTCTTGATGCAACAGTGAGCATCAAGCAACATTATAAAAATAATGGGGAAAAAACAAGGAAGCCCTGTGTGAGTGCTACTTACTGTTTTGCTCAGTTTAATTCACTTAAATTCATTTGTACGCTACTTTTAACAACAGACATGGTCACAAAGCAGATTAACAGAAATCTGAATGCGACAGTGGCAAGAAAAAGACAAAGATCCTTGAGAGGAACCAGACACAAAAGGGAACCCATCCTCTTCAATGTACACTATATTCCTATGAATCCTTCAATGTACACTATATTCCTATGCTCATCCTTCAATGTACACTATATTCCTATGCTCATCCCAGGACTCCTATGAATAGGAGTCCTGGGATGAGCATAGGAATATAGTGATATAATGGGATATAATGGTGAATATGTCATAAAATCTGTCCTATGCTCATCCCAGGACTCCTATGAATAGGAGTCCTGGGATGAGCATAGGACAGATTTTATGACATATTCACCATTATATCCTGGTCAGGTTCATGCTAGATCCAGAGCCTATACCAGGAACACTGGGGATGATGCAGGATTACAACATGGATGAGACACCAGTCCATCACAGAGCACCATGCACACACACATTCACATCTAAGGCCAATCTAGCATAGCCAATCTACCTAGCAGCAGTTTTTGGGAGGTTAGAGTAATCCAGAGAACCCAGAAGAAACCCACACACAGATGGGAAGAACATATGAAACTCAGCACAGACAGTAACCCGAGCTCAGGATCAAATCAGGGATCCTGGAGCTGTGAGGTGTCAACGCTACCCACTGCACCACCGTGACACCCAACAGTTATCCACCCACCTAAAACCTTTGCTATAGTTGTCAACACTTAAAATGACTATTTAATGGTTTTGATATAAATCCAAATAATGTATATGCCATTTTATGTAAGCACAACAAACGAAACAGTATAAAGAAAACTGTGTATGTCATTTTAGCTTGGATTTTTAAACCACAAGTGCAATTTGCTATATTAGGATACTGTGAAGCCTGAACGAGAAGAGATGAGAAGAAAAGGTGGAAGAATAAGAGGTGGTCAAGTCATTAAAACGACAGCAGAGGGGAAGGAGACAAAGAAGATGAGAGTTGAAAGGAAGAGCACATCAAATCAG